GTTTCCAAAAACTAGGGTACCTTATTTTGGGGGTCCCTTAGAATAAGGATCCTATTATTTAGGGTGCTACATTAGGGTCCCCTATTTTCGGAAACCCCCACATAGCTGTCTGCCGCTCAAAAGCCTGACGCCCCGTTTCGTGTACACTTTCGGTTGAGGGTTTGGTTTTACAGGTTTGGTTTAGGCTAGGGTTTAGGGTTTAGGGTTTAGGGTTTAGGGTTTAGGATTTAGGGTTGCGCAAGGACGTGCTCGAGCTCCAGTTCCGAGGGGGTTAGGGGTACTAGTAGCATCTTCACGGGTTTGTGCGTAGCAAGCAGACAGTAGGCTTGATAGTGGAGTTGCCGGAGCATCATAGAAACATCCATACTTAGTAACTAAAACCCTAATTCCTAAACCCTAAATGCCATACTTTATTAAACGGCAGGTTTTTGCTCGAAAGCAATCGAAGCTTCTTGGCTATCTAAGGAACGCCGGCTGCTGCGTGCAGCACTTCGCGGTGATACCAGTCCGCTCCGAGGGCTCCAGGCGACCAAGCGAGAATCGGTTTAGGGTTTTGGTTTTAGGATTTAGTTAGGGTTTAGGGTTCAGGGTTTCGGATTTAGGGTTTAGGGTCTATAGGGTTTAGGGTTTAGGGTTGGGTTAGGTGTCAAGGATCTGAGGCTTGAAGATGTCGGCTCTTGGGCTCTTGCCTTTTTTTGGGTTTATGAATTAGTAGCTGAGTGGATACACTTTACATTTGTCGGGATAATATTACCCACTATAAAGCTGAAAGTGTACACTTCTTGGGGTTTAGGAACTCAGCAACTAAGATACACCTTCTCAAGATGTTTAAGTGTTGGCTTCTTTGGGGCTTGCTGTTCGGAGGTCATTCCCGTAGGTATTGAACCTCGGAGCCAAGAACATGTTGTAGCCACAGTGGTTTTGTGGCTTCAAGCGAATGTGACATGTAAGGTAAGCCATGCCGCCCGCCACCCACCCACGCACACAACCTGTATCTTTCAGAAATCAGGAATCTGAGAAGGACACATGACATGACACCGCGAATATGGAGCTTTGAGTAAACATAAATGCATTTAGGGGCATGGGTTGCAGTTTCGCCGCCTTTACAGACTGCGGGATGCAAGCACGGGCCCTTGCATAGCGCAGTATTGATACTGTTGGTGATATAAATCCTGCATTACCTTAAGGGCCCTAAACTATGGGAATCATGGTATATTCCTTGTTACTAGTAATGCAGGATTTATATCATCAACCGTAGTAATATCCAACAGGCAGTTATACTAAAGTATCCGCGAACGCTTTTGCTAAGTATTAAGGCCGCTACAGTACCACCCTCATATTGTACGCTTGGAGAGCCCTTTAAGGAACACTTCTAGCACCCTTCAACGAACCCGAAACCCTAAACCCTAAACTCCCTAAGCCCTAAGCCCTAAACCCCTAAACCCTAAACCCTAAACCCCTTCAACGATGGCAAGCTTTTGTTCGACATGGCCTCGACCTGAGGGGTGCAGCTTCTTTGAGCTCCTCGTCGTCCTCGTCCAGCGATATCACCGGTGACCAAGCAAGCCTTGCTCAGCGGCCGGATGAAAGGTGGCTGAAGCGAGACTCCGCGAGGCGACGGCGATCGAGGGAGAGAGCAGGCGAAGCCGATCGCAGAACTGGGACCGGCTCCAAACCGACCCGTGCGATGCACCAGGGAAACCTCGAACCTGGCAAGAACGGCCGAGAGCCACCGACGTCGGAGGGGTGACAGGGATGTGCCTTCCAATGCAACCGGAGACGCCAGGAGAGCGGTTCCGTCTGATGCCCCATCGTCAAGCGCCGGAGTGAGCATGCCACTGAGCATGGATATGGCAGTGGACACGTGGATGCTGGCCGTGGGAATGCGAAATATTGATGACGCTCCGGGCAGCAGCTTCTTGCCCAAGACGACGGAGACACCACAATGCGGAGGACCGGCTCACCTTGGCATTGGCTATTCACCGTCTTGTCCTCCACCTACTGGCAGCAATGGGTGAAGCTTTGCAGCAGGCCGCGACAAGCAATGAGGTCGTGGAAGTGACGGTGGAGGAAAAGGACGAAGTGGGGTACATGCAGATGCCTAGCATATGGGAAGGGCTTCTCAATGAGCTGTTGGGCGACCTCGAGGCACGGGCGAAGGACATCAGCCGGCCCACTGCAGAGTGGCTTATGGACTGGCTTTAGCACCGGTGTGTGAGCTCCAAAGACGGGCAGTGGAAGAATCGGTGAAGTCGCCGCCTTATTGGCGACGTTTGTTGGGGACCAGAATGCAATCACCTGGGGGGAATGCCAAAATGACCACACCAAATGGGCCATGCAGTGGGCTGGACGTCTCCGACCTCATCTCCAGTGCCACCCAGGGTCAAGACAGGTCAGAGGGTTACCACCAGCAGAGCTCCGGTGATGATGTTCATGGCCGTTCCCCCGGAGCACCTAGAGGACGAGGCAGTGCAACACGCAGCTCTGGACCGCATCATCGCCTTGAATGACTCCTCGGGTGCAGTGGACCATGATGCTCAAGGCTCGCCACAACCTGCCGAAGACGAGGAGCTGTCGTACCTGGCTGGCTTACGTGCACCGACCGATTGAAGTCCTGACCACGGGTCGGGCACAAACAGAGGGTGATCATGGTGGAGGTCAGCATGGAAGTGGCGACGCTCCACAAAGGACCCTCCGGTTGCTGCTGAACAGTGAGGGTGAAGTGCGCCTGGGTCTACGGTTGTGGCTGGAGGATGAGGAGGACCCGGACGGCGTGGAGACACAGTTGCTGCCGGGAGCCGGGCCATGGCCTGCCCAGGGTCAGGGTGCACAGCCGGATAGCAGTGCCGAGAGGGATGTGGGGTTCAGGAATCTGAGTTCCAGGAGTTGGCTGCCAAAGCAATGGACGGGGGTTACTCGGATGAGGCGATCAAGCTGGAGTTCGGGGAGGGAGTGCTTCGCATGGTGCAAACACAACGGGCACTTCTTTGGGCTCACCGTCGCAGTCCCAACGTGATCTTGAGTCCGCTGTTGGTTCGACGGGTGATGCGAAGAGCGAGGTCGGTGACCAGCTAGAGGGTTCCTTTTCTGGGTCGCGGGGTGGTCCTCTGGCCTGGGGACTAGTCTTGCAGTCGGAAAAAGGAGTCCACAAACAAAACCCTTAAACGAACCCGAGGATACGCAGGCTGAGGCCCCTTGAGTATAGAGGCCGGCCCACAGCTCGCACCCCCGAGCCATGAAACCCCAAGTTCTAGGCAAAACTAGATTTTCAACCTTAAGGGTTTAGGGTTTGGGGGTTTAGGGTTTAGGATTTAGGGTTTTGAATTTTGGGTTTAGGGTTTTGGGTTTGGGGTTTTTGGGGTTTGGGTTTAGGGTCCCCTTTTTTAGGGATTTTATAAGGGCTTCTATAGGACTACTACTACTATAAGGGTTCTATATGGGTAGTTCTCTTAACTTTGGTTCCTTTGATTTTGAGTCCCCAATATGGTTTGGCACCCTTTAAATTATATTCCCTGAACCCCAACCCCCAGACGCCAGAAAGAATGGTGTTTCATTGCTTCCCAGCCCTTCCATGAAACAGCAGTAGTTTCAATCAGTTCGAGCTCCTGCACGCAAAAAAATTCCTAAACCTTATTACTATCACCCCAAACCCAAAGCCTTAAATCCTAAACCCTGAGCTTTGGATGAAACCGGATGGCAATGCAAAGACTGCAGCCACCATCGGGCCCGGCCCGGAGGCTTGCTATAAATGTGGTACCTTTTATTAATCAGGCAGGCCCAGGCCCCGTAAGGGGTAGCACAGGACAAAATGAAAAATTGTTCCCTTGAGTAAGTGAGTCAATAAGAAAGCCTAGCTTTCTCAGAGGCCTGAACAAAAAGCTGATCCGGATGCAGATGTGTCTCACAGCAGTGCAGTTTCAAGCCAACTGTCCTTGCAGACTGGAGATCGGCGAGCAGCTCCGGGTGCAGAAATGAAGAGCACGTCTGCAGCTGTCATCCCTGAAACCTTAGACCTCCAAAACAATTTTCTTTCAATGTGGTACCTTTTCGCCAGACGAAATCCCGCCGCCATGGAAACTCCTCTTTGGACCCCAATCCGGCCCGAAAAAAATTTCTTTAAATGCGGGGGGTATTAATAATCAGATGCTCAGATTATTATGGAACTCGGAGTGTAGTTAATCAACCTTAGTGTCGATATTTTGTCATAACAAGAAGTACAAGATACTAATTACGAGCTCCGATTAGTACATTTAATTATGTAGCTCTCATAAGCAACACCATTACCTAAACCTTACCTAAACCCTGAACCCTAAACCCTGAGCCCTAATCGCTGAACCCTAAAGCCTAAACCCTAACGACCCGAAGCCTCGACCCGCGAGGCCCTGAGCGGGCCTCATCTCACCTCGCTGTTGCGGTGCCTGGCTTTGCTTTGCTTATCCCAAACCCTAAGGCTCCAAGAATTCACATTTTAAGTTTTTTGGGCCCGAAGACCATACTATATAAGGCTTTTGGGCCAATTTGAGGCTTAGAGAAAGGATCCTGGGTGGTGTTATGGGGGATACTTTCCCAAATCATAATAGTAGTTCTGATATAGAAACCTACAGTCTACTGAAAAGGTACTTGGGACCCTTTTGGGTATTTAGTTAGGGAGTGACTTAGGGCCTAGGGTTTAGAGTTAGGGTTGAGGTTTTAGTGTTTCAGGCGAGAGCGCTTGAACCCCTTGTCCACATCCACTACTTAAGTTGCCCAGGTGATCTAAGTATGTGTGCATATGTTCAGCCCGTTGATGCGTCGATGGGTTGGTTTATGCCTGTACATATACATATACATATACA